GACTGATGTGTATGTGTATGTGTGTGTGTGTGTGTGTGTGTGTGTGTGTGTGTGTGTTAACTCTCCACTCATTTCCGCAGCAGCCTCGCGCTGATTGGCTGCTCCCGCGTGTGGAAATCCCCCAACGTCACGTCACCTCCCAGACGGCAAAAACCCCCCGGGACGGGTACCGGACTGCAGACCTTATTGAGCTCCATGTGTTTCACTCATTTGAATACTTAACACTGAGCCCGCAAAGGAGGGTCGTGATCCAAAAAAGGAGATTTTTTTTTTCTCCATTAGGTAATCTTTTTTTTGTGTTTTGTTTTGAGGTTTTAACCTACTGCCATATGCAAATTAACTATTCAAATGAGCCTCCATCTCATCTCTCTGTCTGTTTCACACACTTACATATACTGTCAATAGTCGAGGCCTCTCTGCCAGATTGATAATGAAAGTTTCTGATGTGTATCCTGGTTGCAACAGGCCACTCTCCTGCTCCAGCTGCTGCTTCCAAAAACCTGACTGAACTGGGAATTCCTCATTTCATCATGAAGGATTATAGCTGTCAAACTGGACCAGTAACATCTCTGCAGTGCACGTTTAGTAACTGCCCTGAAAAGTGATGTAACCCAGCCTTTTTTTTTTTTTTTTTGGGAAACCAACAACTTTGAGCTATGTGCTCAAGTTATGAGGCGCAACAGTGCCCCCTGCTGGTTGGACAGAGGAGAGGCAGATTTAAAGGAAACGGAAAGCGAAAGTGCAGGCGTTTAGAGGAAGCAGTGACTCAACTGCTGCCTAAAAATAAACAACAAAATAGATCTCAACTGCGATGGTGTTACTGATAAGAAAGCTACAACCGTGAGAGAATAGGAGCTGGTACAAAGGTGCATAAAGCAATGTGTAGAGAGTGGGTGAACTTAAAATGGACATCAGAAGTATTTATGCTTAACATTTAAAACAATCTTAAAATACTGAAACATTTTACCACATAGGGACTCTTTGTTCAAGCTGCTCACAGCTCAAACACACACAACCTGCAGGTCACAGAGGATTGTTTGGGTACAGATCACAGAGAGAATAGTTGGGAACCAGTGTGTTAAAGGTTGGAAGCAGCATCAGGTTGAGGTTCATCAGTGTTTCTGCAGATGCTTCATAAAAGGCAACTGAAACCATCATAACACCTGGTAGGTGTCCAGTGTTGGGCAGTAACTCATTACTAGTAATAATACTTTTCCCAATAAGTAGTAGTGTAACTTATTAATACATTATAATAATGAATAGTTATTCCTCCAAAAATAGTTAGTTACAATATTACTTTTGTTGTCATTCATTTTTGTAAGCAGGAAAATAATATAACTAGTAGTGTAACTAATTGTTGCTGGTAGGGAGTAATAGGTCATTATATTACTTTTTAAAAGAGTACTGAGTAATATATTACATGTTTTGAGTAACTAGCCCAACACTGTAGATGTCTGGCCTCCAGCCTGATACTGACTAAACTACCATTATTCTTGCTCTTAACTATTTAAATAGCTGAAGTAAACTCAGAGGTCTGAACCAGGTTACTCAGTCTGAGGATTAAACTGTTACAAACTAATCTGATTACCAAAGAGGGTTTAGTTGAAGGTTTTATAAAAACAAACAAAAATTACATTACAAACACGTCTATCGAGCATTATTCTCTACTATTTTCATAACTAATCATTTGAGTCTCTTTTCAAAGTAAAAATGCCAAACATTTGCTGGTTTCAGCATCTTGAACGCGAGTATTGTTTGCTTCTCTCATTTTTATTTCTTTGCAAATGTAATCTTTTTTTTTAGTTTTGGACTTTTGTGTGGACAAAACGAGCAAGAACAGTCACCACCTTCGGCTCTGGGAAAGTTGTGATGAGCATTATTCACAGTTTTCTGTCAAAACAAAAACGATTCATCAGGGAAAATAATTAGTAGAATAATCAATAATGAAAATAGTAATTAGTTGCAGTCTATAACTCATGCCTCCGGGGGTCAACACACATAATGTGCATGCTGTATAAGCACACAAATAAACTAACATTAATAGAAATTAATGTGGAATAATTAAAGGTTTCATGCAAACAATATTGTTCTTGAACCCAGAGCAGCAAGTCAAAACTAAATAGAGTAAAATCAAAACAGCTTTGCATAGACATTTTAAATCACACTTAACTTTTACTATAAACATGAATGAATCAAAATTTAATATGTACCAACATGGAACCCTCTTTGTTTCAGGATTTACAGCACTCAAAATTAAAACAAGAGACACTGTAATTCTTCCAGCACACACCCGACTCCTGTCTCCACTGTGTCTGTCCAGGTGATCTGGTTCGGAGCATGAACGTGAAACAGTTTTCAAAACCAGACGTCTGGCCGAGGGGAGAAAATTAAAAAATAAGACTTGCAAATTAGCTATTGCTAGACAGTTTTGACATCGGTATTATTAACATGACAAGCTGAGATTCTGTACAGTTTGAGGACATACAAAAGAATGCTTCAGTGACTGAAAAACAAAAATTAAGTCATTGACAATATTAATATATTTATATTAATACCAACAAGGCTGTTTTTTTTTATGTTCGAGTTAAGAACATTAACCATTTGTTTAAAATTGAGGGTAGTAGTCACTGTCTTGTGGGTAGCGTCCTGTAGGGTCATCCATCCTGTCTCCAGTCACCACCCTCTATTTTTCTACCTCCGTCGTGGTTCAGGATCTTTCCAGTTTCCTCCAGCACTACTCACCAGTTTCCAGGCAATCCGAAACATGGTGCTCACATGGAATGAAAAGAAAAATTCACAAGGAATCTACACAAAGAACAAAAGTTGCACTTGGCCTCTTTCTTCCCTGTATATGAAAAAAAAAAAAAAATGTAGTATAACTGCGACCTGTTCCCCTCCCAACCTCTACTCCAAGACATTGTTACCCTCTGAGAAATCATACAGAATACAGTACATCACGTTTTGTTTTACTTCACTTGAACTGCAAAACGAGAGGGCGGGGAACTGAAATAAGAATTTACCAAGTCTACACTGAACATGATTCTCTGTGGGTCCACACAAATCAGAGGGAACAGTTGAACTGCATTTTTTTTTTTTTTTTTGTAGTGGCGTCCATGACAGCTAAACGACAACACCCCTCCCTGTCTAACTTCCACAAGTCCTCTTTGCCCCTGTTGTGAGGGCCAGGGAGGCAGATAAGGGCGTGGTCTTGCTTAATCGTTCTTCTTCTCCTCCTCTGGCTTGTCTGTGATGGCGGCGGGAGCGGCGGGAGCAGCGTCTTCCGCTGCTGTGTCGTTCGGGACCTGCTCTACTCCGCTGGTGCCAAACTCGTTGACCCTGTTGGGATCGACCCGATAGATCCAACGCTGGTAAAGGTAGATGAAGAACACCACATCTGGAGGAGAGGACAGAGGTTGTCGGTGAGAAACCACCAAGTACAAACCTACGTACCGGCAGTTACAGTGGCTAAAGGTAATGTTTATGGGATGCACGGTAGAGATCACTGGACAAATCAAGACAGTTGTAAAAGGGTTAAAGTGTCTGTATCAACATTAATTTAACTTTAAAAACCTGCAACAACTTTGGCTGACATTAAATGAAATCTTCTTCTAAACTCTAACTGTGGAAGAAGTGTTGTTGTGCATCTATAACATGACCTGTCAAGACCCACCAATATTCACATTCAACGTGCTAATGAGAAAAGTGCCACGCAGAAAAAACAACTCTGGAGCTGAGCAGACCAACCAATCTAACATATCATTTACCTTTTGTGAACACGTCTTTATGAGATTGGCCTTTTATAAAAGTAACCACTGAATAAAAGGAAACATTAACAACTGCTTGTAACACATTACAGAGGTTCACATAATTGCCTGTGAGCGTATGTGAAACCTGAAACCTAGTGTTGACAACAGAAATCTAGAAAAAAAGTCCCTCATAAATCATCCGGTAAAAGCAAAGAGCATTATGTAAATCAGTGAGATCTAGTCAGTCGATAGAGTTGGAGGATTAATTATAAACAGATCAGCTGTGATTAAAGGCTGATAGTGATTTAACACAATGCCAAGAGTGACAATGACTCTGCATGTCCTCTGGTGTCAGGAGCGATACAAGTAAAAACAGAAGGGCCAGAATGGAGGACAGCCGTTCCTTTACACAAACAACAACAACTCTCACAAGTTGTTTCAGGGGATTATTTAACTCTCCCTAACATAACATCAGGGAGGACATACCATCTCTGAGGCATCCTATCCTGTACATCATGGGCATCTTGATGACAAAGGCAAACAAGTCATCAATAAAGGTATTGAGAGCCTTGTAGGTGAGCATCCTCCATGGGAGGTGGGCCACAGACTTCATTTTGTAGTTGATGAATAGCTGTGGCGTCATTGTAATGAAACCTAAAAAACACAAAACGGGGTGAGAAAAGAAAAAGGCACCGGTTAGGTAACGCAGTATAAACAATTCTACACAGAGGGAGTAACTCAGCAGGCAACATGAAGACTGAAGTCTATTAATACGCAGCACATTAGCAGAGGCTGTTGGGAATTGGATACGTAACCATGATGCAAGTATGAAAACATTATCTGTATGTACATCCGCTTAGAGACAAGATAATTAACAGACACAATAATAAGGAGCCTTAAAACATAGATTTACATAAACAGGAACACAAACTGTCAGCGGAGAGTAAAATCAATAATACTTTAGATTAACTTTTATGTTATTATTTAAAAGAAAATACAATAACTCCTGTTTATGTTTATGTGCCACCAGCTGAAGTGCAATATAAATGTTCCTCTAAAACAAAAAACAAGGACACACAAATTGAAAGATGAGTTGTGGAGTAAATAAATGCTTCGGACGAACTTACCAAAGGTTAACAAGAAGCCATAGAGCATGCTGAGTACCCATGAGTACCAGCCTTTGTGCTCTACGTACAATAAACTGTAGACGGCATAGCAGCCAAACAGAGGGTAGAGCAGCCACGACAGGTACTTGAAGGCCATCTGTTCACAGAGCGAGAGAAAAGGAATTATCAGTAACATCTACAATATTACTTATTGCGTTGACGTGCTTGTGATATTTTCTTTATCTCAGCAGCGATTGCCCTTGCAGTTGAGCATTTGTTTGACTCACATCGTCGTAGATTTTGGTTGAAGACTTAACATATGTTGACTTGTCGTTGAATACCAATCTTGGGAATATTCCTGCGATTTTGTTCTCTCTGTCCAACTAGAGAAAAGACAAAAACAAGTGGTTAATGGATTTAGGAAATAATAGCACAACAAGAAGTAGAAACGCAACTGTGTCCACCAAACACGGTGGCGGCTGGTTTTCATTCAAATCAAACATCTTAACACGTTCTCTGGTTGGTCGGAAATGTTTTTATATTCTTTTAAGGACGGAGGAGAAGGAGCCTGCTGCCTCAAAAAGCAATCTGTTAGTGATGATCCGACTTACTTTGACATCCATGACCTTGGTGATTTTCCACAGGTCGATAAGGAGGCCGATGAAGACGCTGACCTGCACCACAAAGTTGGTCTCGTTGTCCAATATGTAGAGCAGCACCACCAGAGACTGAAAGACTCCAAATATGATGGAGCGCACAGACAGACCCTCCAGAGACTGTCTGCTGTTCCAGAACTGGATATCTGAGGAGGAGATGGTGGTGAGTTGAAGCCGAGGGGTAAACAGACACTGTGCAAACTATTCTTGTGTTGTCGGAACGGACGGGCTGTTGTGACCTTACCATTCTTGAAGGCGAGGAACTCAAAGATGCTGTGCACGATGGAGACAACAATGGTGAGACCCAGCAGGTACGGGTTGGTTTCCAAGAGGGCCACCTATCAAAGAAAGAGTTTGTTTCTTTAAATCTGAAGTTACAGAAGTAACACAATCTCACTTTTTTGGTTTGATCAGAAAGTCCACAGGTCACATTCGACTGCCCACACAGTAGGTTGGTTTAGTTTGGTATCTGGGATGAGAATTATAAATAACTTGCTATAATAAAACACTATTGTGATTGTGCCTCAATACAAAGCTATTCTGAAGAGGTAACTGAAGAGCAGGATGGAAACTTTATCATCATGTGCTTTCAGTGCCCGACACCAATATCTGAAGATGTAACAAAGCAGAAAGCATTTCCTTTTTTACAAAATATGTCTCTACAATAGAAAATCATCAATGTGTCTATCTAAACCAAATAATTCATACATTTGATAAATGGTGACAGTGTACCTACCAATCAGGTTTCATTATATATTACCCAATCAGTTATTTCTCCAATGTATCAAGATATAAACCAAAAATACTTCCATCCTATCACATATAATACAATTCTGTCAGTTTCCTGTCTCTGTGACCTTTGACCTCTCACCTTGACAGAGTCTTGGTCTTCATCAGACTGCTCGTAGGTGTCTTCAGGTAAGAAGTTCCACGGGGAGCGTGCATTTTGGGCAGCGTACAGCTGCCAGCGCCACAAGGACAGAGGGCAGTAGGAGAGGCGCAGTGGGAGTTTGGTCAGGGTCTCGTTGATGGGATAGTAGTCCTTCTGGAGGTTCCAGTAGTCATTGAAGTACACAATGGGATAGTAGTCGCCACTTACTGCATCAAACTTAACATCTAAGGACAGAAGGGTGGAAGTGTCAAAGATGGTTTGCCACAAAAAGAATGTCTAAGCTATTGTATTTGGGAAATGTACAGCATTGTGCAGTAAATGGCAAACAGGTGAGTGGGAGGAACTGACGTTGGTCCAGAGGAGGGGGAACAGAGCCTTTGACCCAGGCTGTGTGGTCATCTACCATGTTGATGGTGAGGTTAGGGTGCCAATGAGAGATAATCTCCACTGGACCGTAGCTTTCTGCCCGCTGTGAGGAAACACATTTAATTCAATAAATGTCAGTGAGGAGCCTTTTCACTTCAATGTGTAGAATTAATTTAGGTTCTTTAACGCTTACAGCCTTTTCCACGATTAGCTACTGTGGGTGTTTCTGTAAGAACTTCAATTAAATGTGTGATGACAGAACTGATAAACTTAGTCAAAAAATCTGTATTGGGAAATTAATTAATTTAAGAAAACATTGGTGCTTGATTTAAAACTCTGCATCATGAGATGATTCTGTTTCAACTACTACACTATAAGGAAGAAAACACAACAATGTTAATGTTTCCATCATAATCCATTCATAACACATAGAGAACTGCAGCCTGACTATGTTGTTGTCAGATTTTTTTTAAAAGCCTCAGAAATACAGTATCAAAGTAATTCTGTAATAAATTATTATGACAAAGAAACATAGTGAGCCAGACATTTTACAGTTGAAAAAATAAATAAAAAAGTCCAGTGCTCTCTGGTGGACAAACTACATAATGGTGACACTGCTTTTTAAATGACCTCAAACACTGTAAGCATGTCTGTAAAAAATATTATAAATATCATTTGATCACCTTGATCATTTCAGGATCTGCTTCTGTTTCTCCTGTCAGGAGATTCTTGGTCTTCAGAAACTTTCTTCGCTTGAATTTATTCAGCACTGAAAGAGTGAACAAGTAAAACACAGAAATTATCATACATACATATATTGTTATAGCTTCTTTTTTTTTTTCCAATGTTTAGTATTTGATGGGGGCTTTTCGCCTTTATTTGAACAGGACAGCTCAAGGTGGATATGAAAAGGGAAGAGAGAGAGGGGGAATGTTACACAGCAGAGGGCCACAGGTCAGACTCGAACCCACTGCAGTAAGAACTCAGCCTTGGTACACGGGGTGCATGCTCTACTAGGTCAGCTACAGAACGCCCCGTAGCTTTAGTTTGCAGTCTGTTTTTCCACATGTACTTACTTCGTGTGGCATGAACGGTTGCCAGTCTGCGATACTGCCCCTTGCGTTTGGGGTCTGGGTGGAATCCACTTTTAGTGAAGTAGACGTGCATGTAAAGGGAACCGTTCTTCTGCAGTACCTGCAAGTAAACACACAGCAAAAAAAGAGTTTCAGAGAATAACACATCTGCATTACAAATCTGTCAACTTCATTATCAACTTATATTTCCTGCCCTTCACCAACACCTACCTTTCCTAAACTAATACCTGTTCCTTTTAACCACCATCTACTGCCTGTCACATCTCTCTCCCTGTTCCCCTGCACTGCCACATTTCTCTCCTCTAACATTGCACCACCCCTCCATCCCGAGTCATCCCCACCTCTGGGATGTCCATCTCCGTATAGTGCTCGTAACAGCCGTCCCCGCTCTCTCCTGTGTTCCAGTCTCCATAGACCAGGTCCCTGTGGAACCAGAACAGCGCTTCTGTGTTGTTGAAGTCGGTGAACACCTCCTCGTGGGACAGGTACACATACAGGTCCTGCCGGAGTGGTGAGAAAATAAAGGTGTTTATGATATTACAGTTAGGGGAGAGCTAGAGAGTTAGTCTGAAAGGGAGAGATAACACGTTTTGCTGTGGAAATACTTGTGGGGATCAGAGTACGAGAGGTGTTTAAAACTTAACAGCTTCAATTCAATTAAAAAAAAAACGTTTAATGAAGCAGCTGGCTGTGCGGATAAGGCAACGGACAGAGGGGACAGGTGTAATACCATGAGGGTGTCCTTAGGGAAGAGGTTCCTGCTGGGTACTCTGGGCGCCCCGGCTGGCGTGCTGGGGTCAGGAGTGGACGGCCCTCGACGGAACCAGCTACTGATCGCCCAGATTATGAAGATTCTGGAGGAAGAAGAGCAAACAGGGTCAGAGCAAAATAAGAGTTAGTAAATAAGGAATCAAAGTCAAAGAAAGAAAAAAAAACAGGTAAAAGGAAGAGGACTAAAATATATTAAAAAAAGAAGAGAGCAGTGTGGAGGGTAAATTGAATAAATGGTAAATACTGGGTACACTGGCACTGTATCTGAAGAGCTGCTACAGGAGACTGAAACCACAAGGAGGCTAATCTGATTTAACTGTATCCAGTCAAACTGCTTTATGTCCAGACTTTAAGAGACATGCCCTTCTTGCATCATAAATCAGTGAAGGATCAAAAGGCACAAACTTGAAAGTAAAAGAAGAACACATAGTACTTGTGGCAAACAAAGACAACATTGTGAAATATTCAAAGAATATCTGGCCTATCTTCATTTTTAATCAGTCCAACTTCCACATATTCTTGTGGTTTTGTTCACTGTATACTTCCATTGTGGCCTGTATGGGTTAAATAACTTAAAGGCCAGTGGCTCATGTTCACAAATAGTTTACACACCCACTTTAGTATTTGAAAGGGTCTGTGCATCTTTTGGACCTGCTCGTTCACTCAGATGGTTGCTGATTGGCTGGCAAAGTAACGTCTTGCACAAGGAAGGGTAAAACAGCCGTAGGGTTTTATTCAAACTAGTACAAAGTAACTCTTGGTCTTTAAGCAGTGTACATTTTGGTTATACAGGAAAATATCCCTCAACATTAACTGATTACTGAAATGAACTGTTAAAATGCTCTGACATCCACCATAGGTCACACTTAGTACAAAGCTCTCAGATCATAACTCTGCTTGTACTTAATGTCATTAATAAAAGTGGGTAAAAGTGATCAAGCACTTACTAAATAAACAAATAAACAAAGAACTGAACATCAAGCAGATCATAAATAGAGATCTGACCCTTGACAACCCACCAAGCTCAGCCGGAACAAATGTTTCCCTACGACTGTACCAAAATAGAAATTCACCAATAAACTACGTGTCTTGCTTGTTTAGGTTGCTATTTGCACAGAAAAAGGTGACGAAACAGATCTTAAAGACAAGACGTGGCTAAAATGTAAAGTGTGCACAGAGATGTGGAGGTGAACTTGAGCTGAGCTGTGGGTCTGCACACCATTATCCCTTTACTTACCACTTTCATATGGATTGTCACACCACACCATAATATATCACATCGTGTGTTCTGTTACATACATGGTGTCAAAGTACGCTTTTATCTGTGGGCTGGCTCTCTATTTATACAGAGACAGAGCTAGCATGCCAGATTAAAAACACAAGAAGAAGAAGAACTCACCTGAAGAGGACTCCTTTAATGACCTGCCATGCGTTAGGTGGCTGCTGCTGCTGCTGCTGCGGATCCTGTGCATTTTCAGCCGTCTGCACAGTCTGGCCGTCTGTTGTTGCAGCGGTTCCATTGCTGCTCACCTAGAACCA